TGAAAAGCTTTATTGATTTAGAGGATTACACCAGAAATGTAACCAATTCTTTTACCCAATTTCGTAAGGAAATCCGTCATCCGGAAAATCCAAATCCAATTTAGGTGCAATGGGAAAAGTTTGTTCAGGCACACAAAACCCCACAACTTTTAATTGCCGCCTGCAAATGAAGGTTAATGACAACCATTTGAATTAAGCCTGAGTACTGCTAACCAGTCTGAATGGCCCATTCGCTATCGGACATTAACATTTTCATTTGCCGGCGACCTTAGACAATTTGCCGGGCTATTTGAATTGCCAAATGGTCAACCGTTAAACGAAAAACAAAATACCGAAAAAATAAAAAAATAGAAACCAAAACTGCAGCAAAAAGTCGTTGACACTAATTAGCATTTAAAAGTGAGCGAGGAGCAACTTTTGCGGCGGCAGAAGAGTTCGCGAGTAGCAACATTTTCAATTGAATCGAACATCTCGAGCCGTTGGACAGTCGAACATACAATAAATAATAAGTCTGAAGATCTCGAATCGATGCGACGATACTGCGATACGAAACCATCGCGGACAGATGGAAGATGCAATTGACGCGCCGGCGGCAACAGACACAGCAGCAACATGCAACATGCAAGCTGCAATATGCAATGTCCACACTGCACCAACTGAAGCAACACCAAAAATGTCAAATGTAAAAACGGCGAAACCGTTCAGTCTTTTTACTGCAAAAACGAAGAAAACGCAGAGAGCTTAAACACAGAAATCGCATTCAACAATAAAAAATTTGCACGCTGCCGTTTGCCTAACAAGCAGGAAGTGTTGCTGGGCAGACTGGCGATGGAAAACCTAGGAAGAGGAGGAGGAGGCGGTGACCAGGGGGAGCCAGAGATGAGGATGCCGCCGGTGAAAACCAGCGACAATGGATGCAGGAAGCAACAACTGTCGTCGTCTCCAAGCGACTTCCTACCCATCATCCGCCGCCAACCGGCCCCCAAACCATAAAAACCTCCCACTTCCCAGGGATGCTCCCATATTTTTACCCATTGCGTGAGCTTTATCTTTCAGTGTCAACCTGAAAATATTGCATCTCGGCAGCCTTTATGTAACTCTCCGTTTATTTACATACCACCCAGTGAGGCTTGAGTGTTGTGAATAAAGTTCAAGTCATTGGAAATGCAGATATGTTATGATACCCTGGCACATTGTGCTCACACAGCTGTCGTGAGTTACTTTTAAAGGCCACAAATTTTCAATTAGTTATACACGACAGTTAATAGTACCCACCAATAAATATTTTATGGTTAAGGCAACTCATACAGTAAGACTTTAATTGTTATTTTAAATCAATTACAAGCATATGCCAAGTTTGGTGATTTATTTTAACGGTTTTCTCGACTTAAATAAATTATACTTTCTATAATCCTTTTTAACTACTTTACAAAATGATAAGCTTGCATATATCCATATTCCTTTGGTCCCTTAAGCTGAGTTTCGGGTATTTGATAGTCTAGGTACTGGACCAAAGCGTCCTTCCTTGTTTTACTTACTTTTACGAAGAAGTCTCTCTATAAATTTCTATAAGTAACAGCCTCGGTTGGCTTAAACATTTTATTGAATTAATTTTGCAACACTTTTAAAGTACCTACCTCCCACCATCAACAGCATCAATACACTAAATTTCACCCAGTTGCTTTACTCCAATTTAAAGTTAAATGCTTTTTATCGTCCCCAAGGCATTGTGCCCCCCATTGACTGTTTGGCAGCCTCTGTTGCCGCTTATTTTTAGCTTTTTAGCCGCATTGTTGAGCGTGAGATTTATCGTCAGCTGCGGTTTCTTTTTGGCGATCGGCGCGCTTTTGGCGCTTTTTTCCCAGCGGCATTCGGAAGTTGAATGAAAACCGTTTAAGTGGGGAAAGAAAAACATATGCTTAAACTTTAAAAAAGGGGATGCCCTTTTTAAATGATTCTTAAGACATTTATATATAGAAATATTTGTTACTCTTGATTTTAAATATATTACGAAGACAAATATTTATTTTATATACAGGCGATTATTGCCATTATTTTAGCAAAAACATATATTTTTATCAGATAAATAAGGACTTTTATATGGAAAACATAGATTAAAACATTTTATATTTTTTTTAAATTGAGTACCTTAACTTTTTCAAAAAATATTTTTTTTGAAAAAATCGCCATTTTTAGTAAGGGGTACCCTTATAATTTTTTGCAAAAATGTCTCAAAATTTTTTGATTTTAGGTTTTAATGCCATTTAATAGTGAATCTTTTTACGAGTTCATAGAGGTATTACACTCCAGATTTGAACAATTATTTCTCCAGCTTTGAACAATAAAACCAATTTTTCCGAGTGTTTTTCCAATGTGATTTCTACAAGTCTTGAGCTTTTCAAGGCGACCGCTTTTTGCGGTCTCGAATGTGAACTCGAACTTGGATTCCATCGCCGATTTGCATTCCCATCCATCTAGTGACATTCGGAGGCAGCGGAGCCGCCGATTGAGCAGCCACTGATTGCTCCTTGGCGGAGGGAGCTGTTGGCCAGGCTTTTATTTCGGTTTAATTCGGCTCTTTTGGCTCTTTCGATTCGATTTCGCTTCCCAGACCGAGCAATTTACTGCAGCCGCAAGTTTGTCAATACACGAAAAATCGCTCGACGCTCGTTAGCCAAGACAGTGTTTGCATATGGCAACTGTTGCTCCTTGCCGACTTGGCCAACTCAACTTGGCCCGAGGCTGGCTTGCGGTTGCGCAACCACCGAGAGCGATTCAAGGTGAAATCGCAATAGGAAACACACTGCTCGGCTGACAGCTGACTGCAGTTGCGTTTTAATTTTTATTATTATTATTCCTAAGAGCACGATCATCGGCAGGTTTGAGGAAAAATCCATCCACACATCTCCGCATCAAAAGGCGGAGTTGCGAAGTTTTCCCCGCCCCCCACCAGGTGGTAATTACCTACACCCAAATCCCCCAAGTCGTTTGTCAAGTGTCGCTTATGAATTGCCATGATTCATAAGCACTCGAATTTAATTGCCAGGATTGGAGAAATGCTCATGCCATTAGCTGCAAAATATGAGTAATCGAGTGGGCTCGAAATCGATGTCAAACCAAGATGTGATGTGTCAAAAAGTGAAATACGCTTATTGGTTTTTTTCGTGGTAGGGGTTTGGACCGTTAAACGGTTAATGAAATGTTCACGTCGGCTACTGTATTTTTCTAAATATTTATTGTTACCAGAGAGGTCCATAGCTCTACCCCCTATAGATTTTATAACGCTCCAAGTAGCTCCCCATGAAGCTCTTTTTATTTTTTATGATTTTAAATTTGTATGTTATTTGTTTGCTTCCCTGTTTTACTGAACTTTTCTTCTGATGAAGCCGACACAATAAAAATTTAAAATCGCATCGAATCACGGTGTGCAGAATACATTGCAATTGCTGACCTGAAAATTGGCATCTAATTGAATAATTGCTGGCTCGATGTTTGTATCTCTGTCACCTCTCGCTGCTTTGTATTCGGTTCATTGAACGTTAAGTTCATTTCATTAAGCTCAACACAATTAGCCGACTGAATACGAAAAGTGGAGTGAAATGAGTCCATGCTGATAATATTACGTACAGTAATGGCAATAAAAGAGTCTGGCTTTTAACACGATTTTTATTTTGTTTACAATGACATCAAATTGTATTACGCAACACATCAATTCTTTAAGCCCGAACTGGGTAATAGGGGTAATAAAGTAATCAAGGTAATGGAAAACGGTGATTTATTTGTAACCTGAATGGCAGCTGGAAAAAACGATGATTGATTCGCAAGCAGAATGACATCGAAAAATTTAAATATTTTTATATACATTTATATTCTTTTGGTGGGCAACTGTTATGTATGTTACGAAATACATTTGGAAATATTTAATGGGGTGTGAAAAATGCAATTCTCAAGCTACAACCCCACATTACGAACCATTCCCATTATAGTTTCAAAAACAAATCCCCCGAAGAGCTAACATTATTTGTGATTTATGTGCCACGTCTCGAACGCCAAGGATGTCTGGCTGTAAATACGATCCCGCCTGGCAATTACTTTCGCACACCAGACACGACCAACCCAGTTTTATCTTTATCGGTACGGAGAATCTCCGGATCGTAGGCCTCGCACAGTGGCACACTTACTTACCTAGCCACTATATGGCAACTTGCAATCACAATACATCAAGGCACGTATTCGCATTTGTCATATGGGAGGGGTAGGGAAACGGGCCCCTCTCCCAGAAAACAAACCGAAAACACAATGCCAGCCCAGAGATCCAAAGACAGACCTCAAATTATTCGAAATTGCCATTGTTTGGCGTGGAGAGTCCCAAACTATCCTCAGTTTTCTTTCGATTTTCACTTTCGTTGAGAGAAGAAATGCGCAGAAAATTAAGCAAATCAAATTTTTACCCCAAGGAAAGCCTCCGCTCGGCAGGCCAGCTGACGCTCAAGTGCGGGATCGGTTTCAGCTTCAGAAACATCAACCCAGCAGCGTTGAGAGCGAAAGTGCACGACACTGGGTTTTGGGTCTCGACTTCACTTGGCCAAAATGCCTGAACTGGCCAGAAAGAGCGGCCCAGAGAGAGAGCTCTCCAGCACATCCGACAGCGGGAAATCGGCGGTGCTGTAATAAGTTGATTGTGCGGTAATTTCAGTTTCACTTGCTGCCATCCCACACAAACAGACTTCAACGTTAACCCCACAGATACAGATGCAGATGCAGATACAGAGACAGACAAAGATACAGATACTTTTGCAGACAGAGACACAGACAGATGGCCAAGACAGCGGCTCATTATTGGCCTGCTCGCCACGCATGCGCAGTGCCCAGAAAGCAAAGTCGCATCATCATCACCATCACCAAAGCCGAAAAACCGAAGACCCAGGCCGAAACGGAGACCCTCTCGCAGATACAACATGGCATCTATGTAACAGTGGTGGTGCCGTGCATCTGGCTGGATTTCTGTATAAATTGGTGATGCGGCTGCAGTGGTTCGTCAGTGAAGCATTTGATTTGGTCTAATAAACAGCAGCCGAGTGCAATCCGAGGATTTAGCAACGTGAGGCACCTTAAAGGCTCCCAGAGTCGAAGTCAAATTCAATCGTCTAACTGAATCCCCGTTTTGTTTCTGTTTCCCCCCCTTTAAAAATATATAAACTACGCAAACCACAGACCGAGGATTACTGTGAGATAGTGCCAAGTGCTAAAGTGAGTGCTTTGTGAACCGTGTGAAACCGCACCTAGAATCCATTACCCATACGCACCGTTGACCCGTGATTGCGCAGCCATGAAAGCCTTTATCCTAATGTCCTGTCTGGCGCTGGCCGCCGCTCGTCCTGAAGCGGGCTACAACTACAACCGTCCTGGTGGCGGCGGTGGCTCCGGCGGTGGTGGCGGAGGATTCGGAGGTGGCTCCAGCGGAGGATTCGGCGGTGGCTCCAGCGGCGGATTCGGAGGTGGTTCCAGTGGAGGATTTGGCGGCGGCGGCAGCTTCGGCGGCGGTAGCGGAGGCGGTGGTGGCTTCAGCAGCGGTGGCGGAGGAGGCGGTGGTTTCGGAGGCGGTGGATTCGGAGGTGGCTCCGGAGGCGGCGGCTTCGGAGGAGGTGCGTCACTCAGCTAAGTTTCCTCTTCAGGAAGTTATATTTTGTATATCCACAGGTGGCAGCATCGGAGGCTTCGGAGGCGGCGGCGGCGGCGGCGGTGGCACCACCCTGGTGCAGAAGCACATCTATGTGCATGTGCCACCACCAGAGCAGGAGGAGGTGCGCCAGCGCCCTAACCTGCCCGTTGGCCAGTCTCAGAAGCACTACAAGATCATCTTCATCAAGGCCCCGTCGCCACCCTCGTACCAGGCTCCGGTCATCCCGCTGCAGCCCCAGAACGAGGAGAAGACCCTGGTCTATGTGCTGGTTAAGAAGCCCGAGGATCAGCAGGACATTGTCATCCCCACGCCCGCACCCACGCAGCCCTCGAAGCCGGAGGTGTACTTCATCAAGTACAAGACCCAGAAGGATTCCAGCGGCGGAGGCATCGGCGGAGGAATTGGAGGAGGCATTGGAGGAGGCATTGGAGGAGGCATTGGAGGAGGCATTGGCGGAGGCATTGGCGGAGTATCTCCAGCTCATCTGGTGGCTTCACCCAGACCAACACTGGAGGTGGCTACACTACTGGCGGTGATTCTGGCTTCGGTGGCGGCGACAGCGGCTCCATCTCGGCCCCGTCCAGCAACTACGGACCCCCCGGAAAGTCCGGTCCCTACTAAGAAGGGCGATCCTCAACCCATCGAGAACTCAAAATTGCGAACTTCGAACTCGGCCCAAGCTGCTGACTAGTCCTGTCGTTGACACGCCCCCAAAAACTCTCACTCGAGAACCACATCATCCACATCACATAACAACTACCCGAAAACACTCACGATCTTCGACCCTGAACTATCTCAGACTTACATAACTCCTTTACTCTCTAAAGGGGGCGGCGCTTTCGCCCGCGACTTTTGTACATAATACGTTTCCATCTTTCCGATTTCCACTCATCCCTGACTTTTCCATCTGTCCATCCTTGGCATCTGTACATTTTCACCTGAATTTTCAACTGAATTAGAATCTAACCTTCAGCCCTGCCTGGAAAATTCTATTAGCTAATAGGCGACGAGGGCGGGTTCCTTGGATGGGAACCTCCCTTGGCGCCCGGAAGAGCGAATGAAGATGATGATGATTTGTAGCAGAAGATGATTTAGCGGGGCTTGACATGCCCCATACATATAAATATATATTTTAATTATACTAGGCTTAAGTACTTTATGCACAAATAAAAAAAAACAACGGTGACAAAATTACGAAAAAAAAACTCAATGGTATTTTTATTCTCAATGGTACTTGGTAATCAACGGGATTAGCTTTCATCCTTTAGTATTTCGCGCTGACCTCGTTCTTCCGCAAATTTTCGCTAGCCCAATTAATCTGAATTAATAGGAAGTCTAACCAATTAGTGCTTTAAAGCAAGTATTTTTACTTTTCAAGTTAAGAAATAATTAAAAAGTAATTTCTTGCCATTATTCGCATACCTTATTTAGCCTTTAGTTCGAAATATTCTGGGATACTTGTGGTTGAACAGTAGAAAAGGTTCAGGAACTTAAAACTCTTCTTGGCCAAGTATTCATCTAAACTTTCTGTGGAAAAACTTTAAAACTGTTTTAGTGGCTCTAGTTGCACAATTACTGAAAGTTGGTCTTTATCTTAATCGCAACTTCTATTCAGAGGCGGAGATATGATCTCTCCCCTTCGGTTCGTTAATGACAAACTGTTGCTCCGGTTTTTCTCTGTCATTACCAACTGCTTTTGAAGCACTACAATCTCAATTTACTCTGTTTATTTTTGTTTACTTGTTTTCGTTTTATTTTGCTACAATGTTTTAATGCTTTAAGTACACAGACAGCATTGGCATTGTCATTGTCGACCGAGCTTCTTTTTCTCATTTTCGCCCAACTTTGGCACTTTCACTTCGCCGCAATCGTGGCTCTTTCTGCTGCTATTACCTTTAACCCATATCAGCAAAATGTTTTATTAAAAATATGTAAATAAGAAGCATTTTTATAAACAAAAAAGTTTTTCCATCTGTAATAATTGGAGTAAGAGAATGGAAAATAAATAGGTTCATTTTTTGAAAAGACCGCTGGCCAATAAAACCTTCAACAGTAAACTTTACAATTCCTAAGTTATTATTAAAATTGTAAATATATATCTTTATATTACCTCCATTAATATTTTTTAATAATATCCAATAAAACAATTATCCATATTATAATGCCTTCATGACAGAGTCCCATTAAATTGAAAGAAATCGTAACCTGACAAATGACCCAAAATGGGTTAACCAGCTGCTGTTTTCTATTTTTTTGCATGGCTACGGTTTCAGTTAAATTCGGAGTGTGCCGCTGCCTTTGTTCCCAGCCTCATATTTTACTGGCATATGCTTCGCTTCCGCCTGTCTGGGCCAAAACCGAACTGCTGCCGTTTTTTTTAGCCATGGCTATAGGTTTGACTATAGTTTTTGTTCGCGCAATCAATGGCAATTCGTCATACACAGTTTGGCCCTACGGCTCACTTCGCTGGAATCCAGTCGAGCCCCTCACTTTTTCTATTTATTTTTTTCAAAGCTATCCTGAAGCTTTTTTCTAGTAAAGGTATTCTATTTAAACATGGATTTGTATAATTTCTTGATTCTTACCATATGAATTTATACAGAGATTCTTAAACTTGGTGCTTATATATTTTATCACAATTTCAAAATTACTTGGTAGAAAGGACAATTCAATTCGAATCATTGGATCCTTTAAAGAGGTACTTCAATGTGCCTAATTACTTTTGTCTGACCTTGTCAGTTCTGGGGGTCGTAAATTGAGTAGAAGCAATATCATTGATGCACCCGTCTGTGCTCGTGTGGTTTTTGGCATGTCCAAATATTCCTAGTTGGCTCGTAAAAATTCGAACGTGTTTGCCTCCTGTCCAATTGGCCAAAATAGAAACAAACCGATGCACAAAGCGCCCGTAAACAGGGTTTTCCATGTGGGAAATGGACCGGGCAAAAAAGCCTGTTGACTGAAGGTGGGTGAAAATGCCAATGAATGAAACGTAGATAGAACCCGCCCACAAACCAACAACGCCCACTTGCAGTCGGGAAATGTGAAAAGTTTCTAAGCCCACAACATTGTCGCAAGTGTTGCACTACGCTTCTGAAAATCTCTATTCACTCTCTTGTTTAATTCACCGGCAATTGTCGACTGCCCTTTAAAGATCAGCTTTTGCACCTGGCTCAACAATTGGCATATAACCCATATGAACTCGGAATAATCCATATAAATAAATGGGTTTGGATGTGGGTGAAATTGATGTTGAAGTGTGACCTAAAGTGTACTTTTGTGTCACCTTCAGGGAAGAAGTTAAGCCCCAATTTCAAACAGAACTGGTTGACATTTAAGGCTTAAGTTATTTAAAATATGTATATAAATATAGAACCTTTTACCCTAAGCCATTACCTAAACTTATATCTATCTTAAGTGTACTTTATTTTATTTAAATAATTAAAAAAAAAGAAGTCCCTGATAAATAAAAATCAAAATAATATGAATGAATGAGCTGGCGAAATACCCTAAATGAATGTCAGCAAAAAATATATACGTTCCGAGGGGAGCAAACACAATTTATGCGGAGAGAAATTGTTTAAAATTCAATTTGCTGGGAAATGGCAAGGAGAACATGGAGGGACACCAAGGAGTAAATTATTTTATCACAACCAACGACCCCTGATCACCCCTCTTGTTCACAGAAAGTATAAATATGCTGTGGCATAAGCGGAACAATTTTATGACCTATACTTTTCACTCTGTGGGCGTCGTGTTTTCCATATTTTCGGTGAGTGTTTTTTCCGACTGCCAGTGTCACGCCCACAAAAAATCCCAGTCGCCACATTTTTGCGAGGTCAACACAAAAAGCAGACAGCAATTGGGAAGGTTTAAGGGTCGCACTTTCGGTTTCCGCGTTTAATTGACAGCCCTGAAAGGTTTATGACACTACGGGTGCTTTAATTAATTGTGCGTATTTCTTAGTCACCCGCTTCCTGCCACGCCCCTCTACTCAAGGAAGGCGTTTGGGTTAATTATAATGTGTGTAGGTCGTAAAAGTAAAAGTCGGCTCACGTACGCAACTTGAAGACCACAAAGCGGAATATCCGTCAAAACCCGCCAAAACATTCTTGGCTTTAAGTTTATTCGCTTTTATCGGCCAATATGGCTTACTCAAAAGCTCGGCGAAATTTACCACTCATTTTCCTGAAAGAAAATTACCCTAGATTCTGGTGGCTTCTGTTTGTTTGTTTGTTTGACGGTCAATGTACTCCAACGCTTTGTTCTCAGGACAATAAAACTCATAGCATATAATTGTAACGAACAAAAAGTCCATTTGCACTCCTCCCTTTTCATGTTTGGCATTTCTCGTTTTATTTGATTATTTTTTATGACTTCTGGATTTTTATTATATTTTGTGTTAGCCATTTTAGTTACTTGGCTTACAATATTTCTGTTGGCCATCTAAGGTCTTCAAACATTTAAAAATAATATTTTTGTAAAGCCATTTTTTTTATTGAGTTGTTAACTGGTTAAAAGTAAGCTTCAAAAATTAGCTTTAAACTTAAAAAATTAAAATTGAAAAGTAATTCGATACTTTTAAAGGCAAAAGTACATAAATTTAACTACAAACTCTTTTCGTAAATTCCTGTGTAAATTAGTTGCTGATTGGTTAGGCTGTCCGCCGAGCGAATTGTTTAATGACCGCTTGATTTTTGGCCATTTCATGGATAACAGTTTAAGACTTGGGTGCCCACCTTAACTGAGTTTTGGGCTGTGGCTTTTAAATTACCAAAAATATTACTAGCTTTGCTTCTCTCTTTTTTTCATGTACTTTCGCAATTGTTTGGCAATTAAAACCGGGTTCAATTACCACAGGCCAAGACATGCGGGTGTCCAGGGATCAGTTGTTATTACCGGGAATCAGCCGAGATAACTTGGGGCACGAGCTAATCGATTAGTGAAATGGATTGATAAATGGTTGTAAGCTGCCAAGAAGCGGAGTTTGGCCCTCTGATTGATCTATTTTTAGGGAAAACCAGTTTCCAACTCCCACGCAAAAGGAGAGACTTTCAGTGTTCCGTTTTATGAATGAAATGTTGCTTTCAATTTCCTGCGAACTGTGTTTGCTTACTCACCATTCGCTTTCAATGGCATTAAGTTAAGTAGCTGGAAAAAAACGCAAAATAATAAAAACTACAGACTCGCCCAAAAAACTGCAATCAAACCTGTTAATGCGATTACTTCGCCTCTTTTTATGTGTTACTTTAAGTGATCTTTTTATTTCTGGGGAAAAGACTTAAATATATAAAAGAAATAAATTAAATCCAGAGAAACGCAAAATAAACACGCACTGTAGTAAGAGTTATTTAATAAATATGTTGTACCTACATTAAAGATGAGTTCCTGCATAATTAATTTTAGGAAACCTTATAAGTGATAATTATTATTTATTGTAAGGTTCTATACAGGCTTCCTAGTGTCGATAATGCCACCAATAAAACCAACTCCCTGCACTTAAAAAGCAATTAACTGGCCAGACGGCTCCCATATTAATTAAACAAACTAAAGGAGCTAGTCCTTTAAGTAGGAACCATTTGGCCCGAAACGGACGTGTTGGGAAATTTAATTAGTGAATTTCTTGGGTGAAAGGGATTGGAATGGAGAACGCTTTGCACCTCATTATACAGCCTTTCTATTTCAATCAAAATGGGGCCCTCACTTTCGACTCAGCGGATCCAAGCTCATTTGTCAGCCTAAGACTTTGATGGCCCAGTTCCTGAAGCCGTCTCCCCTTTGGATTTGGTGGGTGTGGGTCCGAAATCGGTTTGATGAATTACAACACCGATGTACTGAGCCGCGAACATGAGCTCATTTTTTATGTAAGCTCAGACGCGGCTTTGGCTTTGATGGGCGGACTCGGCCGTAACCGCTAACCGGTTCAAAATCAAAACAAATCACCGAAAAAGCCAAGTGCCATGTGATTGTAGCTAATGCCGGCAGCCTCCGAGCCGGCAATTAAGTCGTGGAACTGTCACAGCCACAGCCGAGGTGGCCAAAACAAACTGCCAAAATAAAGATGAAACTAGAGCCGCGGGCAAAGAAACTTCAGCCGGACCGGCACATATGACACATGGTAAGCGAGTCGACACTTCAGTTGGCCTGGGCACCAAACCAAGACTCCTCCAAACGCCAGATGATGTTGCAGTTTCCACCCACAGATACCAAATGCACTGGAAAAAATAGGGATATGTCAAGGAAACATAATAAATTCATTTGAAATATTAAGAAAGCACAGAAATAATTTTGAATATTTTTGTTTTATTGATACTTTCATGCATTGTTTCTCAAAAACATTAAGATATCTAACTTATTCATTTAGCAAAATGGTATAATTTGACAATCACCAAAAATATATAATAAAAAATATTTAAAAATATTAAATGATTAAATAATTTTAATCGTTATTATTTTTAAACTTTCTATATGTTAAAGCTCACTTTTATAGCACTCAGTAGTCTAGCTGTCTCACTAAAAATGTAGAGGCCTATAAAGATTTATTTCCCCACACAAATATCGAATTTGTTTTATTTTTCTCCTGTGTGGGCGTAGGGAAAGTGGGGGCAAAGTTCATCAGCCGGCGGGCAAATGGTCGGGCCAAAGGTCACCGATGGCGGAGACGCATGTCCAGACGTCAGGGGAACAAAAAAAATATAAAAAACAGCAAGCACATATTTGTATAAACATTCATTACAAGCTGGCTTGGCTTCACTCTGTTTGCTCCTCGTGTTGCCGCTTTGACGCTCGCACAACGCGGCGTATACTTAATGTTGACACTGTTAACACTCCCCGGCTGGACGGCCAACTAACGAGGCATTAAAACGAATCAAATGGCCTCGTTGAGCACTCGTTAAGTTTGCCCAGAAACCGGCAACTGGAACGGGAAAATGCAGCTGAAATGGGAGAACCAACCGGCAACAAAGGCCACCAGTAAAACGATTTGGCGAGTTCATAAAAAGCAATTGCCATCTTGCCGAGCGGAGAACTGTCGCCAGATGCACCCAGCTGACTTCGGAAAATAGTCGACTGACAGAGATTCACAGCTAAACGCGATTGAATCTATTTGTAATATCCCGCCATTGAGCAAGATTCCATTTATAGCCGCACTTCCCCGCGATTATTCCATAATATTTGCATGCAAATATGATTCAATTTATACCCTTGCTCGTCTGCTTGTTTCAGAATTCAATTCTGATTTCGCATATGTTTAGTTTATTGGCAGATTACTGCTCCTTTGCATCATGGGCAGCCAGTTTTCATCTGTCTGGCTGCTAAATATACTTTGATGGTGATATCCATTCCTCTACACTTGACAAAATTTGTCCTACAAATATATATTGGAGTTTAAGTCCTTTTAAAAATCAAAAAGATTACATAATTCGGCTAATGAATATTATTTGCTCAACCTTTAAAATGATTTAAATAAAATTATTTTAATTCCTAAATTTATTTCTTTTTTAATCTATTAAAAAAATATTTTCTGAGTATAGGACTTCAGCTATGTTAGCTGAGCTTAACATCTTAATCGAGGCTTTGTTTCAGGCCATTAACCTTTATGTCTAGTTATTTTTTCAGGTGGTCACGTTGAAGAGACGTGGCCACCGAGTTCATCGTTAAAGTAAACTATGCCATCATATTCGCCATACTGTGCCAGGTCGATTGTATCTTCTGGCAGAAGAAGCAATCCAAACTCACCTGAATTGGGCAACTTTTTATAGCCCTTGTGATGTTAAAGCCCTGTGATTCACTTAGTTAAATTAAATAGGTTAGGCAGGATAAGTAAGTAAACTTTAACTTATGGATTTTCCACGTAACCTTTACGTGTCAAATGTCAACTGAAAAAAATATTACCAAAAAGAGAGATGAGAAAATTTTACAGGCAAGTCGCGTGTAAGAAAAGGAAAGTAAACTTTCCAATGTTTTTATCAAGAAAGGGGAAATGTTTAACATTTACAGCACAGCCCAAAAGTAGGCCCGTATATAGCTAACACTTATTCTGGTTCTAGTTCATCCAGTTCCAGCATCCTTAGACTTAAAGATGCCCTGATAAAAATTAGTTTGAAGAGGCCACAAAAGCGAGTCATTGCCTCCTGATATAAATGAACTTGAACTGGTTGGCCCAGGTTTATGGTGGGAATTTTTACGGCTCGACGGTCTGCGATACGAAGAAATTTCGCCACATGCGAGGTCGGTCAAGGTCGTAAAGTGAAACTTAAGGCTAAGGGATGTGACCCAAGGTGCATGACCGCAGTCCTATAAATAGACTTTGGACTTTTGTGTCCCTAAACAAGTCTTCTTCCCTTCTTTTTGCAGATGATTAAGATGATGCTGACGGTTGTGGTTGTGTTTACCTGCTGCTGGCTGCCCTTTAATATCTTGCAGGTGGGTTCTGTATATTTAGAATGTCTTAGTCTTAGTGATAGCTTAAAAATGTTTATACACATGAAAACTTAAAACTCTTACACATAAAAATAATTTGGAAATTACTAACATATAATATACCATAGCGAAACTTTATTGAATTACTAATACATTGAAAATGTTTATAATTTCTAGAAATGGAATTACCTGTTAAATCATTTTTAAACATATTGCAGTCCTGTTTAAAAAACAATAATTGGTTTTTCAAAAATTTCTTACTTTGTTTTTAAAAAAAAAATTTTTTATACACTGCTTTATAATGAAACTCCATAATTTATTCCCCTAGCTTCTGCTGAACGACGAGGAGTTCGCCCACTGGGTGCCCCTGCCGTACGTGTGGTTCGCGTTCCACTGGCTGGCCATGTCGCACAGCTGCTACAACCCGATCATCTACTGCTACATGAACGCCCGCTTCAGGGGCGGATTCCTGCAGATAATGCACCGCGTGCCGGGCCTGCGTCGCTGCTGCTGCTTAACCCGCTACTTGCGGAGCGGCGGCGGCGAACGCAGCTACGAAGCTACCGGTGAGACGCCCAACAAGTACCATCGCCAAGTCGGCGAAGCCCTAGTCAGGAAACCTAAGATACGCATTAGGTGCTACCCCTCTTCACTTAGTATATCCGTATTGTTACGATTTTCGATCTCTGAGTGTGTAGAAGGAGGCCTGTTGCCCTCGATCTGGAATCTAGTTTCTAGTAGTTTGTTCAGTTTATTCTATAGCCTTGCATGCGAACCTAGAAGCACGCAGACACTCTTAAGCATGACCTGCACCGACAGCATTTTTCCAGTTGATTGATCCCGACTCTGGCAACCTCTTCTAATACTTTCACATTTTTGTTTTCACGCAACACCGGTGGAAATATAGGAACGGGCACAGCACTCCACCTAAATCGTATGAACACGTCCACCACGTACATCAGCACCCGCCGAAAGCCACGAGCGAGTTCTATGCGAGCGGTAAGTTGGAAAACCTTTTAAGGAATATTTCTTATAGGGGTTACCAGAGTGATACATTTATTCTTATCTTCTGTTCCTCCTTTTTTCTATATTTTTTCACCCCCTGAAATAGAACCCATTTTCATGTGCCGAGACGTTAGCGTTGCGGTAGCTGCCAATGCAGATAGTGAATCGCCTGTCCGGAAAGCGGGAAGCTCAGGTGAAATTAATTCGAATGGAAAGTGCACCGAGTTCTGAGTGCAAAAACATCAAAAACAACCAAAGATCGAATCTCCCACAGACACCTATGTCTGACGAGTGTATATGTGTAAGTGCGTGAAAGTCCGAGTGTTTTACCTGTATTGTAAGTGGCAACTCAATGTAATTTTACTGAATGTATATTAAAGGTAATCAATCAAAAGTATATACAATATTCACATGCAAATGTTTTGATCGTACAAAGTAAGTCTAAATAAAGCCCAGAATTATGCAATGTTAATTTTAATATCTTAACTGTTACACATGAAACGTAGCCTACATTTGAGCTGAGAGCTCGGAGGGTTTCGGTCGAGAAGGGATTACCATTAATATTTATTGCACCACCATCTAGAGCCGTGCAAAAGACACCTGTATAATTGATCTAATTCTATGGCTAACTTAAGTACAAATGGGTAGAAAAATCACTTGACTGTTCCTGTTTTCAATAGCTGGTTTCTTGAGCACATCTCCTTTACCAAATCCTGCACTTGGGCTGGTTGGGGTTCATGGCAGTTCCTCTGGCGCACTTGAAGGTCTTCGCGAATTCCTCCGAGTTCGAGAGGACTCCTCGTAATCGCATCTGTCCCGGGCAATGGGAATCACTGAGGGCGTACCGCGATGCTGCCGGCGTGTAAGTCTCGCACCACAGATTTCCAAACGATATGAAGAAGAGCTGCTCGTGGGAATAGTGCTCCAATCCGGGCAACTTGGACTTCTCGCGGCCCACTTCTTTCGTATAGAGACGGTATGCGTAGAAGGCCTCACGCATTCCTCCGTTGTCCGCGATGTTCTCGCCCAGCGTCAGTTCGCCATCGATCTTAAAGAAAATAAGGTAAATATCGTGTTATATGCCCAATAAAATTTTTGCCAAACAATTTTTAGTCGCTAAATCGAGAAAAAACTGTGAGTAAATCCTAGAAATCTAAAGAGAAACTATTTTCCCATATTTCCATGGAACAAATGTATGTATACAATGTATACATTTTTCTAGTGAATTTATACCCAGCCCCACATTTTCGTACTACTCACATATTCATCAATGTCCGCGAGGTGGTAGCGGCTATACTGCTCCACAAAGCACTCGGTGCGATTGACATACTCCTCGATGGTCTTGTTGGACCACCACTCGACCATGTTTCCTGCCCGGTCGAACCGCCTCCCGCTGTCGTCGAAGCCGTGGGTGAGTTCGTGGCCCAGGATGGTACCAATCGAGCCATAATTGAGCGCCCTGCCGACGACAGAGACCAACATACGGGTTAGGGCCATTCCGGGAAGGGATTAGTGCAAGGTGCATGGATGCGGGTGCGGGAACGTGACATTGACTCTGTTTGCCCGGCTATCTGTGTGCTCAGTGCTCGGTGGTACTCAGTATTCAGTGCGGTATTCCTGGACGGACTTACTCTAGACCAAGGTCGTAAAACGGGTATTGCAATATGGCAATGGGCACAGCTGCAAAAGAAGATAGTGGCGGGATTAGGGATTCCACTCGTAAATGTTGTCTATTCCCATAAAAATCACACTAAAGTCATGAAAGTAACCAAATTACCAATTAGAGTTTAAAGTTTAAGTCAATATTATAAAAAATCTACAAGAAGTGGGAGATCGTTAAAGTTTGTCAAATATAATTAATACTACTGTGGTCTATTAAAAAATATAAAACGTAAACTAAGAATAACTAACCATTTGAATACATTTCCTATATAATATTAAAAAGTATTTTGTTGATACATTTTATATTTCTCAACTTCCCAAACCTTCACAAAGATTTTTCTCAAAGTGCACTTACTGATTGCATTCGACTGAAAGGTGTGAAATGCATTCACATTCGAAGGCGATGTTGCCCATCCAATGGGCTCCGGCTTATCCATTTCGTTCAGTTTGTCCATCATCTGCCAGTGGACAAAGTCCATGAGGTTCTCCAGGTGGGTGCTGACGTTCACCTCCGCCCCCTCGTAATACTCATTTAATACGGTGGCATTTCGTAGCCAGGAGGGAAAACCAATGAAGCTCTTCATCTCGGCTGACTTTTGGATGGTTTTTCTCTTGGTGGCCGCATCCATCCAAGAGGTGGACTTAACTAAGCGATCGAAGGAGCGTCTAATATCGCTTAGCATTCGTTCAACTTTTGGTAACTTTTCCCTGGTGAATTCCTCATCCGCAAGGACGTAACTCACTGCCATACCAAACAAACTATTGACTCCGTTGGCGCAGTAGAGAGATCTCGGGGTGCTTCCCTCCGTTCCAATGGCCACCCTCATGTATTCCGAGTGGAGCAACCTCATCGAGCTGGATGTGTGAAGGACCAGCTCTTCAATGGTACTAAGAAAGAGATAGGATTCGATATGGGAGGCTGGGGTCTCCTCCAGAAACTCCACCAACTGCTGCAAGTACATGATGTCCGCCTGACTGGTTATTATGGTCAAATTCCGGGTCATTTTAACATTCCCCGCATGACGCGTTCCCTTTAGGATCAGTTCCATATAGCGAAACCAAATGGGCAGTGTCTTTGGGGCTATGTTTTTGTCGGTTTGATTTTGCAGATCCATCAGGGATATGTAGATAATGTCATCTGCCGGATTTTTCGAAGGCTTAGTCATGTTCTCTGCCTCCTCTTTTAACTGGGGTTGATTATTAGAGGTAATTTGATAATATTAGAAGGTATTTCTCATACCCACCTGATGCACCTTCCTGGCTACTTTAACGCCCTGCTTGACGAGCTCGGTGATGCCCAGGGTGGCCTCCTCCTGGTTTACATTAGGATCCACATAGAGCAGATACTTTTCGATGACCTTACGAACATAATGAAGATAGGCCGTCATTCCCGTGCTGGTTTGCTTGGCTGCCTCCTCCTCCTCGCTTTCACTATCCTCCTCACTGTCATCCTCGTCATCGCTGTTTTGCATAAAAATGGTCTTCCTATGGATCTTACGAAGCAACTTGTGGGAGTCATCGTTGTTGCTAAAGATGATATTGTTTAAAACTTAAATTAATATATTTAATTTACAACCCACTTACAAGGGAAACGCAGAGTCAGTCTCTGGAGTTCCCAGAGCAATACGATTGATGGTTCGATTAAATGGATCCGGAAAGACATCGAACCCTATGATGAGATCCATGCTGAGGTGTTGTTTGATGGCCACAATGGACTGCAACCAGTTGTAGCTGATATTGGCCGCCTCCGTGGCATATTTGGAACCACTTCCCAGGGTGAGATTCAAGGCGGATGGCAGGATGGGCAATCCAAAGCGGATTAGGTAACCAACTAGTGGCTCCAAATCCCTCGAGTCCAGTAGCTTCGTATCCATACATGCTCTATACATCGCCTTGGCCTTGCCCACAGCTTCTGGCTCGGATTTGGTGATATTCGAGCGGAGGAACTCCCGCACCACGCGCATTATGTGTGCCTGACGCTCCCGGAACCAGTCGTTCGAGGTCACGGAATCCGGACGCGGATGCTCGTTGGCCCACCTGCCGCAGGTGAATTGGTAGAAGTCCTCACAAGGATCAGTCTGCTCGTCCATCGCATAGATGAGGCTGGCCGCTGTGCGGATGCACTCCTTGCTCCGGCAAATCGAGCTGGATTTCTTAACTGAAAATTGGAAATAGAGGTAAGTTTGTTGTTATACCGTTTCAAATATTCATCAGCTTACAAGAAAACATATTTTAACACATGGCTCTTTAGTCGGATTCTATAAGATAGCGTTCTCTTATTATCCAATTTTAAGCAGTTTTTTATTCTTTAAACTAAGTCGTATGCTAAGAATCCGATTTTACTTACTATCCCTAGTCTAAGTATATGTAAAAGGGTTTCAAGTACTCACGGCCTACGCTTATGACTATGATTGCTATCAGCAGAATGATTACTAGAGCCAGGAGTCCACCTAGAACCACTTTGTGGTAGTAACTCCTACGAAACCTAAGAGAACAGATCATTAGAGTATAAGACTAAAGAAAAGTTAAAGGTAGTTCACTCACTTGGATTGTATGCCAATTAGATTGGGGGATATGGGCTCATAGGGCAGCTGTTTCCCATTCGCACTCTCCGTGGCAGAACTCGGTCCATGTCCATTTCCATTTCCATTGGCAGTGGCGTTTCCATTGCCACTGCCATTGGCTCGAATCGGTGCCGAAAGAAGGCTGAGGTTACCTGTAGTTGAATTTTAACCATCTTTGATTACCACGCCAAAGACTGAGTACTAATTGGCGTTCGACCAGGTGCAATTAGATTTGAGAAACGGATTTCAATCGAAGTAGTAGGCAGAGAGACACGTTTTATTAACGCTAATTAGTCAAATGTTGTCAATTTTGTTTGTCCCCACAACATCATCCACCCCCACAGCAATTCGACGTCGTTCGTGTATACCATCTTATCTTGATCTGGCGCAATTTGCCGTCCCTGTCCATGTCGTCATTGGACAGGTGAGCCCATTCCATTCCACTGGGTGTCCCTAATCGCCTGGCTAATGCATACACCTGTCACTGGAAACGTCCTGCGAATGCGGAACTGCATGGCCATATATTTACATAGCCACAGACAACGGGCGTTAGGAACTGGTGACAACGTCCGGTTCAATGGCCCCAAAACATTTCGCGTGTCCGGCAGCAGTTTAACCCATTTTAAAAAATCAAAGCCCATTAGACCTCACTACGTGATCTCAAATTTGCATGGGAAATAAGCACAGTAAGAACCCTGTTGGTCAAACATCTAATGGTAGTAATTCACTTCTCTTATTACATTCGCTTTTCTGTATAATCTTCAAAGCAGTTTTGTTAAAACTAAAAATTTTCGGGATCTTTAAATCTGTAATATAAATGTCGGATTCTATATAACTTTTATTACTATTTTAAATTGACAGCTTTCAGTCCTTTGTCAGATGTTACAAAATTCAAAAACTAGAAAATAAAAATTAACGGAATGTTTCGCTCTTTATCCGAACTAATCTTCAATACATCTGAAATCGAGACCAATCTTTTTGGAATGGCCGACGATGTATACAATACAATCGAGATCTTTGAAAAGGCAGCGAGATTCGAGACCAAGATCGCTAGACCTTATAAAATGATATCAAGCATTCTCGACTGTTTGGTGTTCATGGTGGTGGCTCTAATGATGGTCGGTTTCATCATGTACGATCGCATTGTGGTGTTTAGAGAATTGGCTAGCACCGGTAGACCAAAAACCCAAAGGGTTGCTGTGAGGTCAAATAGGAGACGGAAGCCAAGAAGAGCTTTCGATTCTTCGCTTTCAGAAAAAGAAAATGAAAATACTGTGGTACCAGCAGAAGAGGACGATAACAGCATTGGATGTTCCGGAAATGAAACGGATGGCGAGGACAATAGCACTCTTCGACCTCAGGACGATGGACAACATAAGGAATACGCAATGGTTGGAACTCCTAAATGGGCCTTGAACTGGCTGATCACCTTAAGAAATAAAAGTTTCGGATCGTATTACGATGGCTTGTTCCGGTAGATTCAAAAAACCCGTCACACTTTGTAAATCTGTCCAGTAGTTTTCTCAAACGGATCTTTAAAGTTTTGCGGTTAGCCATTTAAATTGCTTATTGGACGGATTCAAGTACCACAAAGTGCCTTATTATACCAGATATTTATATGAACATCCAATAAGTACGTGTTCATGACTCATTCAATTACGAATGCATTTCACTTATATCGCAATAAAGAACAACTTACTTAGCCCTTTGCAATTTTTAGTTTACATATGTAACCTAAAACAGATTTTCTGGGACAAATTATATAGCTATATTAAACTAAGGCAAGGCACATTTTGCTAATTTGGGTTCGCGATAATATTGATAACCTTAAGAAAGGCCTCGTTTAAGCATTTATATGTACTCGTAAACAATTGTCATTGGAAATGTAATTGCAGAAAATTTTGAAGGTTTTGCAATTATGACTAACTTAGTTGTAATTAAAAAATGGAAGAAAAGCTTGCCTTATGCTTGAGTTCCCAGATTTGTTTCTTATTTTAATTGACAAAGGAGAAAAGCATTTTAATTATGTTTGGACAATTGTCAGTTTAAGAAATTGGTCAATTACATTTATATTTATATTGCAATCTGGCCAGGAAATTAAAGTTCCTTTGAATTGCAAATGTATTGTAACTCTTTTGCATAAAATTCATTTCATAAATTAGGCACTAAAATAAAAAATCCTACGAAACGACTTTCCTATTTTTCCTTTGTCACTTTTCGATTAAAGTAAGTTTAACAGAATTGAGTTCACACAAATCCATACAATGTATTGTTAATAAGAAAACTCAGATTTTAACTCACCCGGTGTCTGCAATCTCTGAAGTGGCAGTTGCTGCTGCTGCAGATTGTCCCCGAAGAAGCCATGATTGATGTTGCCGGTGGTCCAGATGCGGTTGCGATCCTCCATTGCCATCGCATGAGTCAATCAGTAAATCATTCAATCCAGTGCAGTTCCGAAGATTAATGCATATTCCGGTGATTTTTCTGCTAGTTTAACACAAAGTACTGGTGATTTTCCTAGGCCCTCCAGGGCATATCAATGAGCTGGTGTTCAAGCGGGGGGATAAGCCTCATCCGAATGCACGTCACAGCGCCCACATGTTGCTGACTGACGCAGGGAACAGTTCGGGAGTAAGTGGGAACAGCTAAACACTTTATCGCTGGCTCATTACACGGAATGTTTCAATTTAGTATTCTCACTTCCACTGCCAACAGCAGGCAGTTGCATAATTTGGCATTATGTGAGGCCCAAACGAAAGCTGGAGAACTCTGGAAAAATCGACTCGAAGTGGAGCCAGTGCAGCGGGTCTGTTGCGACTGGTCTGAAGCAGCGACTACCGGCGTATTGGAGCCCGGGCGTCGTCAACAGAACGTATTTATACGGCACCGATATACACCTGCGCCAGCAACCGAATAACAACAATACGGCTGGCATAGCTGGCAATAGCAATAATACTACCAACAAACAAATCAGGCAACCCCCATTAACTCCTTCGGCCATGCAAATGTGCTGCGGCAATTACGAGCCCCATAGCAGCGACAGCGACCCACTCGCCCAATTCCCTTCCGTTCCCACCGAAAAACGCCGACACTGTCTGACTGTCCTGCATGTTGTCCATATTGTTGTTTGTTCCATCGTATCATTCAAGGTTCGGGTATATTGGTTCTACAAAATAGTATAGCAGTCACAACTACACTACTATAAATTAAAAATCAAAGAAGCGGATTCATGAAAGGAACTATCTTTGTATTATCTTACTTTGAATAGTAATGATTCCTAAGATTTAATATATAACATTAAAATATTAGTAACTTAATGCCTCTTAAAGGGAAAGTCTAAACAGAACAACAAATGTGGGAACACTTTAAAGACAGATGTGAAAATTTCCGACTGGGATTATGTATTAAATGTATTTTTTTTAACCACCTTTGTCGTGGAACGTGACTAACATTATAAAAAACCTTTCTTTAATGATTTGGCCACCCTATCAAGAGCCCCTTGAGTCACAGAAAATGCGTAATCCTTGGTTAGGCACAAGTTCTGCATTTACTCCATGACAAATACCCCTTATGACCGAGGTATGCCTTCTTCGATTACAAAGTTCCATCTCTTTCCACAGTGAATCAGTACAGAACACGAAGGGACGTCAAGTGACCACGATCCGCGGACCAAAGCCAGTGGCGTAATGAGGAAAAGTACATTTCAAAGGGCACCCCAAACTCTCAATGCATATATATATTATCCGCTGGGGAGGATATAGGTATATTTGCTAATTGATATGGACTCGGGTGTTGGGGCTATTGGGGAAGTGCATGATTGATGACCCTGGGCAGTGACCAATCGGCCAGGACACGACACTGGTTTTTGCCCAAACGGGATGGATACCTAATAATAGTAATTAAATGGTGGCACTTTGCCCGCCCACAATGAATCCGAAAGGGAATCCACAAGCATTCGCATTGTTCGCCCGTAACTTTGACATAGTTTATTGTGTCTTTGGAATCGATAAATAGTATTGATTTCTACATGTGCCAAGACACATCGCGCATACGCCCCGCTGCCAACTCTGGAACTCCAAAACCGAAAGCAAAGCCAAGGCAGGCGGTGCATGTTATCCTTATGCCGATGAAAGGTAAAAGAAAAGCCACCCCTGGGAACGTGTTTACACTCACTAGGGTGTAATTGGTTTGCGCTGCGGGGCGAACCGAATTATGGTTAATAAGCAAATAAATTGTCCACCAGGTACTCGCCGATGGGTTCAAAGAACTTTACTTTGCTGTCATGTACTTGCATACATTTATTTTACATTATCTTTCTTTAACATACATTTTATGGATAGTTTTTTCTTTTTTTGTTGGTATTTTTATATACTAGGACTAATTAATTGCATGCATTTCTAGCTTAGACATTAGACGAGGAAGCCAAAAACGAATATATGACACGAATATGTTTACAGTGACTCGATTTAAAATTCTTAATTAATATGCACATTAGTCTATGTGTGGATTCTGCACTCGAGAGCAGATTACAAATGTATTTTGTGTGCGCTTGGGGGAACTACAAAAGTACAGATTATAAAATAATTCAACGACCCCTGGATAGTTTGGCCTGCCATTCTATGTGATGGGTGCAACTTGAGGCTGCAAAGAGAAGAGATGAAAAGAATTAAACATTTTTGAGATCTAGTTGTCAAGGGGCCAGTGGCAAAAGCAGTTGAGAATCGTTTGTCTTGAAGTCTTAGTCTTAAAAATCAGTCTGTTCCGATCACAGCAAACGCTCTTGAATATAATTTGAATTCGTTGAGAAAGTTATCTTCAAAAAATAAACTTTTTAACATATTTTGTTGAGCCAACAATTGTTTGCTGATATCATCGATGGATCGCGCTGTTGGAAATTTTGAGAACAAGTTCAAGTGCCTGGTGAAGGCCGAAGGCAAGGGCATGGCCCTGAAACTGGTGGGATTCTACGCCGTCGGCTGGACCCTGCGCAAGTTGGTCAAGTGATGCGTTGCGGGTCCCAAGGATCCAATTAGTCGTTTTCAGTTCTTGTCCCCCTTTTCAAATTCCATGTACAAATAAATTGTGGTCTTACCTCAAAATCACATTTACGCAACATTCGACTGGAGAAGCCCCAGTCTGCAGATTCACAGGATTTTCAGGGCGCACTTGCAGCAGGATGGGATCTTAAAGGACCCCTGACCCACGTCATCACCCTGAATACTGACCAGGGTCTGCTGTATGTAGTGCTGCTTGCAGATCGGACGATAATGCTGCGGAAAGTTGCTGGCAAAATCACAGGGTTTACCATCTCCCCTGGAAAAAAAGAATCGGATTATGTGAAGTTCTTGATAAATTAACAATTTATGCTTGAGGTTATTAATCAATAACTCTTACATCTGTCATTTAAATTCTTATAAAATTTATTTATTTGATTTGGCAAGTCACACCCTTTCTTGCTTAATAAATTTTAGATGAATAACCACAAGCAGTAAAATGGTTTGAATATTTTGCAAATCAAACTTACTCGCACTCTTCGATCTGTATGCCCTGCTTGTATTCCTCATCATTGACGATCAACTGCCAGGTGTTGTCCGACTTTTGGCCCTTCTTCGGAAAAATAAGCCTCCTGTTGCTCTTGCAGAGGTACATCTCGTCGGGGTCACCACCCACGCGAGAGCTCACATCCGTGGGTTGGGCATTGTTCATGAAGAACTTGGCGTACGTCTGCTCCAGCTTGACTTTGAACTTTGACAGATTGGGATAGTCGTCCACTTCCGTGCAAAAGGTCTTCAACTGATCGCTGCTATTGTTTCGGCAGGGTTTCAGTCTATTGGTGGTATTGACCAGGGGCTGAGGTGGTGTCAGGGGCGGCCGATAGGTGGCTAGGGGGGAATCGGGGAAGACAAAGGCTAAAATTAGGCAAGCGCCAAAGGCAGTTGGCCAGTGAGTATGGGATCGATTTAGTTGTTAGTTGTATATCATGTTAGTATAGTATCGAATGTAACTGAGAATCTATGTATATAGAGAGGTACTTACTGTCCGATGGGTGTCGCTGGAGATGCTGGGGCTGGTCCGACTGCACCTCGGCACTCACATTCTGCAAAGAGACGAACGTATCGTTAAAGACCAGATTCAGCTTGCCGTCCGGGGAGCGCTGCACTTTGAAGTATTGATCTTGATCTGACTGGCTCAGGCTGTGATACTGATGGTAATGGCGGTTCGGATCGGGGATCGGGGACTGATTCTGATTGTGTTTCTGATTGCGATTCGGACTCTGGGACGTACCGCCCCGCTGGGTGGGTATGGGCATGAAGGATGCACTGTCCGCGGTCGTTGTCTGTACGGGTAAAATTCGCTTGTGTTACTCTTTAACCGATTGGCGTAAAAAAAGCACAAACACAACACAAACCAACAAACCAACAATAGATCGAATGAGCAATGAAATGGGGATGCAATGGATGGATGATATAGGACTAAGGGAAAGCAGCGCAAATTCGCCTTTGAAGCTGTGAATCGCCTTTAATTTAGCTCTCCATGAAAAAATATTTTAATCTAAGTCTACAACCAGATTATAATAAAGTTTAATATTGATTAGGATTCCAATTTAAAAACCCTTTTGGCAATTTGAAATTTAAAACTCCCCATGGCTGTCAAAGGCGAATTTTCAAAGATCTATGCTTAAGCCAAGTGCAGGTACACT